CACTCACCAGTCAATTTATTAGGTACACCTTGCTAGTACTAGGTTGGACCATCTTGTGGCGCCAGAGCTGCCTAAATGTTTTGAGGCATAAATTCAACCATGTGCTGGAAACATTTCCGAGAGACTTTGGTCCATATTGACATGATAACGTCACAAAGCTGCTGCAGATTTGTTGGTTACGCATCCACGATGTGAATGTCCAGTTTAACTTAACTAAAAATTTCAGCTACAGGAAAGAAATCAAATCAAAAGGAAGGTTAAAACACTTAAAACTGAACAATATCAGGATTTCCTGTAAAAGCTCATCAGAAAAACCAGAATCGATTGTTTATTTAATCCAGATATCCCACTGCAGAGTTTAAGAATCACCTGCCGTCCTCTCCTCCACAGGTGACATCATCCCTCCTGACTCCATCCTCCACTTTGACGTCCTGCTCCTCGATGTGTGGAACCCCGAGGATGGCGTCCAGACAAACACTTACCACACGCCCTCCGTCTGCTCCAGAAAGGTGGAAGTGTCTGACTACATCCGCTACCACTATAACGGCACGCTGCTGGACGGGACCCTCTTTGATTCCAGGTTTGTCTCGTACAAGCTGTCATTCATGCATCAATCCACCTGCACACTTACAGCCTGTTTTCGCCACTCTCTGCTGCAGTCACACCCGCATGAGGACCTATGACACTTACGTCGGGATCGGCTGGCTGATCGCCGGTATGGATCAGGGTCTTCTGGGAATGTGTGTTGGAGAGAGGCGCATCATCACTATGCCCCCATCACTTGGATATGGAGAGAATGGAGATGGTGAGTTTTGATGTGATTAGTTCCTTAAAGTCTTCTGTCAGACTGACGACCTGTCTATGGCGTACCCCGTCTCCTGCTCTACGACAGCTGGGATAAGAAGTCAAGAAAATAGACGGATGGATTTCCAGTTTCTTCAAGTTTTACTACAAACACTAGAATTTAGGTGAAAAGAAGCAGCTGCACTAATACCATCCAATATGTATCCTGCTAATCACACTAGGCTGAGTTTAGATAGATCTACAATAAACAAAACATTTTAAGTAAACGTGCCACACAATGACCTTATAATATGAGAGAGTGCAGAGGCGGCAAAAGTACAGATATTAGGTACTTAAGTAGAAGTACTAGGGTTTAGAAGTACTCTGATCAAAGTTAAAGTACTGATTTAACTTCTTTACTCAAGTAAAAGTAAAAAAGTACAGGCTCAGAAATGTACTCAAAGTAATTATGTAAAAAATTATTTTTTTAGAGGACTTTTCTGCAAAGTTAACTGAACCTTGTGGTATATTAATATAATAAAATATTAATTTAACAAAATGACATTATAAAATGGGAATAGAAATTGTATATGTTTAGTTAGTCTGACAAACTTTGTGGATATAAATGTTAGATATGAAAAGAGCTGACCTTTAAAAAAACATTACTCCCTTTGTCCTCCCTCCTCTTCTGTAGGGCTAGCTAGATGCTGAAGTACCACGAAAAACTTACCACAAAACTTGTGAACAGTCACACTTGTTCAAAACAAACAAACAAAAACAAACAAAAAACCAACTTTAACCCACTGGTGGTATAAATTATGCATAAATTATATCGTTTTGCCTCTTTCATCCCTGTATGTGCAATAACCCCGGCGAATGATACACCATTAGGATTAGTTTTCGTGTATTACTGTTTAGGCTCATATCGAATTAACGCTTTGAAGGCCCGCTGTGATGTAAAATAACAATAACTCCCCTCAAATGTCTTTAAATAAAGGTAATGAGCCTGTTTTGAAAATCTAAGTATACACAAATATATTTGTGTGAAAACGTATGGAGTAAAAGTACAAAGCAGCCAGAAAAATAACTTCGTAACTAAAGTACAGATACCTGAAAAATTCAACTTAAGTACAGTAACTGAGCATTTGTATTTATACTTTCTACCGCTTTACAAGAGTGATAAAAAGAAAGAAAAGTTGACAGTAAAAGTAAGACTGACACTGTTTAAAGGTAGTGGAAATTGCATTAATAAATAAAACACTATAAACTGAAGAAAAACAGCTGCATGCAGGTAAAATAAGTTAAGTAATAGGAAGTTTATCCTTCATCCATTGCGCAGCACGGTTATGTGACTACCTGCTGGAGGAAATTAAGATGGAATGATTCACAACACCTTTGTGTATGTGAGTTATTAACAAGTTCAACTGAAACTGGTTGCGTTTAAGGGTAAGAAAACCCGCCTACTCACACTCTATCATTAACAAGCACAAACATTATTACTAAGAAGGCTCCCGTGCTCTCATCTTCACATCACATCATCGTGATCTGATTTGCTGAAAGTTTGGGAGTAGCAACCTGAGCCCAGAACAATAAAGAGTTTAGCTTCTTCTTCGTCATCTTCTTCTCTCCTCAGGCAGTGACATCCCAGGACAGGCTTCCCTGGTGTTTGATGTTGTCCTCTTGGACCTCCACAATCCCAGAGACGGGATCACAGTGACTAACCAAGTGGCGCCCGAGTCCTGCACGAGGAAGAGCGTTTCTGGAGACTTTGTGCGTTACCACTACAACGGCAGCCTTCTGGATGGGACATTTTTCGATTCTAGGTATGTATTCATCATAGAGGGAAACTTGTTCTCGTGGTTCCTAAATAAAAACCGTTTATTGCCCGCTGTTTCTCAAGTAGCCTCACGGTGGCAGCATTTCTCTGGAGACACAAAGAGGAATCGAAACTTAAACTTCAAGTAGAAACTTCCTGCACATCTGTGTCACATAATAGTGTAACTGTTTTAAGTTTAAAATCTCTCTTCTTGTGGTATTTCTTGTGGATTTGAAAAAGCCTGATTTAGAGCGGCATTGCTTGTATGCTAAATTTAGAACCACAAAGGACACAAATAAGAGATACAGTCAGAAACTAATTTGATTTGAAAAATCAAAACAAAATGCAAGAAAGGTGTAGTTTAGTTTTCTGAAGAAAGATGTCATATGTAATAAGATAAGATTTCATCATTTATCATCATCATTTCATCTATCAGGTCAAGTACATGCGCCCAACAACTTGTTGAATCTGTGCCACAAAGAAATAACACGAAATGTACCACGAAATATTGCCAGTGAATGCAAGAAAAAAGGAAAAAAGAAACACATTTGCACTCATAGCTGATTTGCACTGTGTGCATTTTTTTGGTATCTGCGTCATATGACGCAGAGTTATTCAAGGTAAACAAACAAATGCACGCTGTTGGTTGCAGCTTACGCCCAGTGGTTTTGAGGGTAAGATCGTTTCCTGCTGTTGAATGCATCATCACCAAATGAGCTGACGTTGGATTTTAACGTCTGGGTAGTCTCACAGCTAAGTGTCTTTAACCTTATTCCACACAGCTAGCAGCTAGCACACTGTGTCCATCACAATAAAGCCAGTAAATCTGGTATTGTTCATTTAACCTCAGTCTAAGGTAATGCACATAAACATTCAGCAGCTTCAGAGAGAGGCTCTGCGGTTCTTGGAGGTTTTGCAGATGTTGAATGAGAACATTCCCTTTAGGAGCTTCTTTCAAAACAAGGGAGAGTTGATTTTAGATGCAGCAGCATTTTTTTTAGCTTGTTTAGTATATATTTGTGTGTAGGAATTACATTTACACCCTAAATGCAGGAAACCAAATCGTGAGTTAATAAGGACTGTAACATATGCCTAGACTCAACCCAAGACTGTTTATTTTCAGCATAACCATATTTGCATATACAGTGTGCTGAAATATCGTCTCCCCCTTAGGTCTCCTTGAATCAAAAATATATTTAAAAAAATTAAAATCTGCAAAACTCAAAAACTACGAGTTTTAATTAAATCAAATCACATTTATTTCTTTAGCACATTTAAAAGACCAGTGTACATCATAGAGCTTCACAATAGTACCGCAATGTGGGGAGAAACAAGGGACAAATTGAACAATTACAATAAGATGGTATGGAGTGCAAGCCGGAAGAAAGTCAAACTAATTTGCTTCAAAGGCTAAATTACACAGGTAAGTTTTTAGGCACGATTTAAACAATTGAATAGATTCAGATGTACGGACATCAACTGGGAGATTATTCCAGAGTCTAGGAGCGGCAACAGCAAAGGCACGGTCACCTCTGGCTTTTCAACGAGACCTTGGTTGCACTAAGAGCAGTTGGCTAGAAGATCTTAGTGCTCTCTTGGGGTTATACAGGTCAAGGAGATCAGTTAAATAACTAGGTGCTGTTAAATACCCCAATTCTTTGATCTATGGGCTGAAGGAAGAACAACACTGAGTGTTTAATGCTCAATCAACAATCTCTTTATTCCATACAACACTTTCCACAGGAGGGTGTCTTGAAGTGTGTGACAGTTACACATAGCTTCTTCCCCTCCCCCCTCCAGGGTCATGAAGCCTAAACCCTCACATTCTTTCTATCTTACGGCGCCTAAGTGACGGCCTTGGCTTCCTGTTTTATCTCTTCCTGATGAGATGGGGCAGAAAACCTCTACCCAGTATGCTGTGTTCTCTTTGTAATCAGAAAATGAAGGTCATGATTCTACACAAACAGCATTTCTTATAACTCAGCAGTGTAATGCATCATAAAACAGTCTAATAAATCGAATGTTTTCTCACCTTCTTGTAGATCTGGAGTGTAATGCAACCTAAAACAATATGATGATTTCACAATCTTTAATCAAAGGCATAATGTGGCCTATATAGCGGTATAATGAGCTGCTTTTATGCACTTTCTGGTTCAGTTTTGAAGACATCACCATATTCAAAACGCATCAATCATGATTCCTCCTCAATGGCTAATCGTAAACATAAAACAAAAATAATCTTTCCAAAACAACCTCCTATGTCTGCTGCAAATGTCAAGGCGACCCGATAACCACAATAATAGAGTATAAAAAACTTTTTATACACAGAATTTAACACTGTAACCTGACGTGTGTAGATTCGTAGTCATCCCAGTTATGGTAGTCTCAGGAGCTTAGGGCACCCGACTGTCTGCCACCTACAATACTGGTGCCTCAATCTCCACTCACATCTTGCATCTCAATGAGTCACAGGATGGTGCAAGGCCTCACAATGGTTTCACACAAAACCTCTCCTGTTATTGACCCATGCTGTTTTCACACCTTGACTCATGATTAATGGTGGGTCAACAACTCCTTTAAGGGACAACCCCCGCTAGGGTTTAAATACCTGGGACTCTCTACCGGTTTGTTTTGCAAATGAAGAAGTTTCTCAGATGAGAGGTGAAACTTCTTCAAGAAACTTAAAGAAGTCCAGTGGCTTTCTTTCCAAGCTTCTTAGACTATAACCAGTACAAAATGTAAACATGGATAGCAGGGATTAAAGAGGAACTGTGATAATAACGCGTCATATTTCTAAAGACAATCACAAAACATGTCAGATCAAGTGTTATCTGTTATCTGTGTTATCCTTTAGAGAGAGAAGTGTGCATTGTTGCCCGTGTGTGTACAAGTCTGAACTAAGAGAGCAAAAATTTGGGTGACACTGGTGTGATCCGACAGCAGACTGGGTAGAGGGCATATCACAAAGGAGGAAATTAAGTCCCTGGTTTGATTATCTGCTAGATAGATGTTTTTTGTGTGTGTTTATCTCTTTGTTCATTACCCTGTGTCTATAAAGGAAAACTGACATTTGCAATGTGTTACGGTGTTTTTACCTCCTCCATATCGGCGTGCATCTGAAACGCAAGCTTAAGCTATGACTAACTTTATTATATGAGGGTAAAAAACAAACTGTTTTTACCTTCAAAATTATTTTCCTAATATTTTCTTTTCCTCAGCTACTCTCGTAATCGTACCTACGACACATACGTGGGTCGAGGCTACGTGATCGCCGGCATGGATGAGGGCCTGATCGGAGTCTGCATTGGGGAGAGACGCACCATCACCATCCCCCCGCATCTCGGTTACGGAGAGGAGGGCACAGGTGCGTATGTGTAATGCTCAGATTCATTGGCTCAGTGAGAGAAAAATCATAAGAGTCATGAGCCATGAGATCAGAAGTGCTTGTTGTGCCATTTATCATGCGTTCTTCTTGTGGTAGAGAAAACAGAAGGTCTGCTGTAGCGACGAGACATAAACGTTCGTTTTTGAGAACGTCTTTGTACAAATGTGCACGCTTTCCACTCAAGATTCAATAAATTAAAAAGAAATTCTGGATTCTTGTTTTGACTGAAATCACAGGTAGATTCAACTCATTTTTACCCCTTTCCACATCTCTCTCTCTCTCTCTCAGGCACAAAGATCCCAGGCTCAGCAGTGCTGGTGTTCGACGTCCACATCATCGACTTCCACAACCCCTCGGATAACACTGAGATCACCGCCACTTTCAAGCCAGACGAGTGTGACAGGCAAACTAAGAAGGGAGACTTTGTTAAATACCACTACAATGCCTCTCTGATGGACGGCACATCCATCGACTCCACGTAAGTAAAGCTCTGTTGGACTCTTCTGGGAGAGCAAAAAAAAAAAAAAAGGTAACAGAGAAACTAAGACTTATTAGTGCAGAGTTGGGATTGACCTAAATGGAGGCGTCAGCGTAAAGGTGGGAGTTAAAATTTAATAGCAAGGCCACCTTCTTCCAGACCACCTGCAGGAGCGAAAGAATGGGGGGTTGAGAGCCTAGTGGGGGGAGGGACGACACACAGTGAACCATGTCTGAGGCCAGCTGAAATCCCCGGCTGGAACAAGGTTTTGGGGCAGAGGGAGTGCTTCGGATTTTGGCCAATTTACTCTACATCCTGATATATTAGAGAACCGGTTAATAATTCTTAAGAGATCAGGTATAGCTGTGAAATCAGGACCAGAGCATCATCAACATTCAGATAATTTAAAAAATTTGATTTAAAAAATTTAAGCAGTGATCACAGAGTCTCTCAAGTTTTACTTGCAGCAAGAAGTCAGAGGGTACAGATTAAGACTAAAACTTACAGCTCACGGATGCCATTATAGCTGGAGTCACATCCTAAGTTACACAATTAGCCTTTCAAAATTGTGGAATTTTCCATGCATGTGCCGTCATGCCGAGGCATACAATCTTATCTTTATTAGCCCCGTTTCAGGGTCAGTTTTCTTTTCAACAGCAGTCTTCTTGCAAGTACATCATAATCAACTGATCTCATACAGACGTAAGTCGAGCAACAGTTTAACATAATTAAAAATTTTCCTGTAATTAAGAGGGCAGCAATAGATGGCATGATAGGAACTATGACAGAGGTGACATGTAGTGGGTTGATAGCAGGTTAGTAAAGCTGTTGCTAGGTTAAAAATTGGAGGTGAGATTCAAGTCATTTTTAAGCAACTGTCGATTCAGTTTTTAAAATTCTGTTTAAAAGTAAAACATAAAAAGGGCCATTAGAGGAGAGCAGAATTCACTGAAAACAATTTATTGAAATTCTACAAAAGTGCAGAATCAGTGAATAAAAAGCGGAGGCATCCACCAGAGGTTACCATGGCAACCGTCCGTTGCCATGGTAACCGGACCGTTGCTATGGTAACCGGACCGTTGCTATGGTAACCGGTCCATTGCCATGGCAACCGGTCCGTTGCCATGGGTTAAC